TGTGTGTATATATATATATATATATATATATATATATATATATATATATATATAAACCCCTTTCCAGATTACATAACCCCCTTCGTTTTCTACCAGCCATCTAAAAAACATAGTTTAAGTGAACCTCATAGCAGATCGACCAAACATCACACTAAAAATTGGTTCCCATCTTGTCTAATAATATAACCCACGTCATCGACTAGAATGGCTGGGCTTTTGAAACCCATTTTTAATATAAAATAAAAAGTAGAGCCTTTCGCATGTAAAAACAAGCCCAATGAGGGTTTTTACGTAAGGTTTTAACCGAACCTTAAAAAAGCCAGCTTGATCACGCAAGCTTACTAGGCTTCGAGCATGGGCTTTTTTGTACATCTCTCTACTTACAACCGTCAAGAAAATGTCACTTTTGAATGTGAGATGATCGAAAGTCGAGTCGAATTAGCAACATAAATCAATTGAACTTTAACCCATCAAGCTGGCATAAATGATGTGTATTCGTCAATAATGCATCACCTACCCATATTCTCGTCACTTGTATCGAGGAAATAATAAGAAGAAATAGCGCGATTCTCTCATCCCAACAACAAGGTTGAAAGTATTTCTCCCATGGTCTTATCCGACGATTCACCTTCATTTTCCACTTCGATACCATTCTCGAGCACAGCAGCATCAAGTACCAGTTTCCTTTTTGCAATCTCGTACACATTCTCATCAACTGTATCCTTTGTTACCAACCTTCAATGATATCATGACATGAGAGTTTTTAGGACACAAGAACCAAGGCCAAGAAACCACATGGTCATTTGACCCCAACCTCCATGGAGGTCATGATGCCTCACAAAAAAGTTGAAAAGTTTGACGTATATCACTATTATAGTGAAAAGGTACATGTGTATGCGTGCGTGCGATGCAGCATAATGTAAAAAAAAATTTGTTTTAAATTTATTTTCGTTTTTTGGAAATGGATTGTTCAAAAAATCTCAAATATTATGTTGTTTATTTGGTTAATTAAGCTTATATTTGGGTAGGGTAGTAGCAGTTTTTAAAAACTCTGTTCTTAACATTTGTCGGAAGGACAGATATTTTCGAAAACAAAAGACTTTGTATGCATTAATAATTCATATTTAATGTTTTATAAGTTGTACTCTTGAAAAATTAAGAGATTTCAAGAGCAAAAAGATGCTTTATAATATAAAATAAATACTTCCAAACAAAGGCCAAGAAAGACTTGGACAAAGAAAGGATGCACCTATAAATAGTCACTGTCCATACAAAGGCCAAGAAAGAGTTAGAGAAAGAAAGAGAGATGCACCTATAAATAGTAACTGGTTTGGTTTGGCCGATGCGATGACAACGATCTTCGGCTTGACGATCAATCTGAGGGTTAAAATCCATGTCATGTATGATGACGGTATCAGCTCCAGTCAGGTTCAGTCCCTGGCCTCCAGCCCTTGTCGACAGCAAGCATGCAAATATAGAAGTGTCGTTATTGAATGTGTCCACGATTGTTTGCCTTTCTGTTACCTGAGTACTGGCATAAAAATAACATAAAATGAACAAAACATTCATGCATATACACAATTGAAAAGAATTATTCAGCCTTGTTTATATAGACAATATCAGAACAGAAAAATTAAGAACAAAAAGTGGCATAAATTTCATGACCCATAAGAATTGCAATATTTGATCGAGCACCAGTTTTAGAAAAGTGCAACTATTCCTTACAGGTGAAAAAATATCCTTCAATAATCACAAAATAAGAAACTTCTACGGAAGCAAATCAATATCATCCATCTGTTGTAACGTTGACAATGGATACACAGGTTTGAATACTACTCAAAGGGGTAAACTGCATTAAAATGAAACCAACTATTTGTGTTTTGGGGGCCTAAAAGTTAACTTTACAAATAATTAAGGGTCTTGACGTTTTTAACAAGTAACCGATGAATTTTGATGTGGATAAGTAATTCAGATTTGGCATATTTCATTGTTTTAATTGCTAACATGGCAATATGGTTTTGTTGCTAAAGAGGAAATCTAAATCCTTGATTATTTGTAAAGTTTACTTCTAGGCCCTAAAATTGAGGTTTAGAATGTTGGTTCCACAAAACAAGAATAAACCCAAAGTCCATTCCATTTTGGTGCAATTTTTCCTACTCAAAAGCATAAATTTTACAACATTCCATGTCAAGAAAAAGTACTAGATTTAAATCCATAAAAAGGAAAAATAGTGTTCTCTTGCTGTAGTCATTATATAGATAGATTTATCTTTAAAAGAAGAGTATACAATGAAACAACGAAGATGTGGGAAATGATCTTGCTCCAATGGTGGTAGGCTCTAAACCACAAGAGAGTCTAAAGTAGATGAAATATATATATATATACACACACACACACATATATATATATATAACACCCCACCCTCACCCCTTGAACATAAAATAAGAGATCGGTAATTGCAAAGAGCAAGTGCAACAGAAGCTTTCTAGCATGCATCACTTTCTTTTTAAGTGCTTGGAGATCAATAACAGACCCCTTCGGATGTATTAGACATACATTTGAAAACAAGCTCAAAAGATAGCAAAAACAACAAAGTTCAGATGTACCTGCCATCAAGACGTCTGTATGTAACCCCGATTACATCTAGAGCCCACTCTAAGATGTCGAGCATTGAAGTCCATTGACTAAAAATTAGAACTCGATGCCCACCATGCATAAGTGCAGGGAGAAGTCCAGCCAACGCCTGCAAAATAGGTCCACCACCTCAGTTACTACAGTATGGTAGGTTTTAATAGACCTGACTGAGTGAATTTGTGTGATTCTCAAGACAAGAGAGTAAATTTGCATGAATATCGCATAATGTACCCGGCACTTTGCAGAAATCATAACATGGTCATCTGAAAGATTTTCCGAAGTAGCATCACCATAATAAAGTAAAAGCTGTAACAAAATAAAAGAAACGAACATTAGTGCGACCATAAGAAAATAACTCCATCAACCAAATGGCATCCATTAGAACTAATGTTTGTTTGACAAAAATTCTGACCCATTAACTTTGCAATACTCATTGTCACATGAGGTCAGCATCTTCATTACAATTCATTAACAGGATTCTTCAAGTCCCTATATATACAGTTTGGCAAAAGTATATACCAGTCTTGCTTTTATGACAATATCAGCGGTACTCATTATAATTGATATATACCATCTTCTATATCCATTCATTAAAAAACAGAAAGATAAAAGCCAGATTTCTCGTAACATAATTTGATGATTAAGAGAAAATACCAACTCTTAAAAACCCAAAAATAAATGACATATTACCTCTAGAAGATTTTGTAGCATTCATGAATGATATAATACTATATAACGTTCACATTCTTATGATACAATTCCTAATAGCTGTGACAAGGTTAGAGCTTTTTTTGCATAATTGAGCAAAAACTTCTATGTTCACCCACAAGATATCCATTATAATTTATAGCACATAACTTATGAAGAGTCTGAGAACAGTAGATTTACAGGACAAGAGTATATTAAGACTCGGAATAGATGAGAGATATGATCATCTACGAAGTAGCAATGCTTATATGAAAATAGTTACCACTTAAAAAATTTCCTCTTTAGGAATCTACATGTTGTACTTAAATACTCGGATCAACCAAATCCCAGAATTGCAAATGTATATTCCACTCTCAAAATCGAAGATCACAAGATGGGATCAGTGTTCGAGAGACTGGTGCTGTCCAAGGCACACACCAGTGGTAATTCAGAAAAGAGAATTATATAGTAATTCTAACCACTAACAACATGTGGTCCCCCCCCCCCCTTCCCACATGCTACGTGACCAAGGTAGGATATTATAAGCTGTTTCATTTATTTCTTGCTGTTATTTATACCCACATCGAGGAACTGGTTTTGGATCATCTCCCAATCATCCCATGAGGACACAAAAAGCGTTCAACCCTCGCCATTTAACCAAGACCTGCAGTCTAGTATGATCCCCACCCCGTGCAGATACTTGCAGCCGAGCTCTCACCCCACTCTTGCTGCCAACTTCGTGATAGAGAACATCGAAAATATCCTAGGCAACACCTATAACTCCATGTCGTATGTAAGCTGAGGAATAGTCTCGAGGAGGAAACACAGCTGCCGATGGCACGACAAAAAGGCAAAATGTGAAAAACTGGATGAGTAGTGGAAGTTGGAAGTAGCCCAAGTTCATATGCTACAGCACCAATCTATTCAACTATGCGAAATGGCTGACAAAACCTGGTGGACAACTTCTGACTGTAACGTGTCATCAAGGACTTCTGTCTGTACGGCTGTAACTTCAGAAAGACTTGTTCACCCACCTCAAAATTGGTTTTTTTTTCTTGCCTAAATATGCCCTATGTTTCATTCGGTGTTGTGCACATAACCAGTAGAGCTTTACTGTATCAAAATCGCATCCCTTTCTAACAGCCCTTTATCCACAGAACCCACAACAGCAGTGGTGGCCTTGTATCGTAACAAATCTGGTGGTTTTCGGCCAAACAACACTCAAATCTAGAGGTAGACCAATTTTTTCTACTAAAACAGTTAAAATGAAATTGTAAGTTGCACGGCCATCAATAAATACCACAATCTAATGCCCTTGAATCGACCCAACCAATTTCATTGTTTTGGGGTTAGTAGAACCAATTACCGAATTTAAATGCAGCACGACTTCAGATTGCCTCTCCCCTAGCTCTTTCTCAGCATTTTCACCCTCCAACTCGATCCTTTCAGCCTCAACTTTTCTTTGTGCTGAACGACAAAACGTTGACCTCTTTCCTTTTGCACCAGTGACCGAGAGAGTATTTGTTAACGCACAAATAACATAACCCTTGTAACCTCTGTTGTTGAAGCTTTGTGTTCAGGAGAGTACCTCTCCCTCCAACCCAGCGTGTTTGTGGGATTATTACTTGCATATTTTGGCTCCCCTATTACCACGGTTGACTTTCTCAGCCCTAGACCATGGGTTTGTTTAAGTTCCCACACTCTATTTTTTCATCAATCTTAGAAGCCATGTCCATGGCTTCTCCCAAACTAGCTGGCAAAAGCAACCTCAACTTTACCCTCATGGTGAGGTCTAAGCTATTCATAAATTGACTTAGGTACACTTCTTTTGTAATTCCATCTGGTGGGGATGCTAGGGAAACAAATTGTTTCAGATAATCACTCATTGTGCCTACATGTTTTGAGGCAAGAAACTGTTCGCATAGATTCCCTTCATCACAGAGCGGCAATGTTTTAAAACAGGAATTTTCATTCATCCCATCTTGTAATTGGACAAAATTTATGTTCCTATAAATACCACCTGAGATTCAAAGGAGATGATTGAGACTTCAATTTGTTCCTCACGTGTTAGCCAATTGAAGGCAAGGTATCACTTCGCTGATTGAAGACAAGGTCTATATTCCACTGAAAATTCAACGTTCCACTTTCCGGCCCTTAGTAACAAATAAACAATTTGCTTCAAGGCCATAATCCTGGTTCATCGACTTGCAGCCTTTATACAACCCTTCAACTTCATTGTGTGTTTCATTAGCCACTGATTAATGAATTTTAGCTGCTTTGTGCGATTGGATATCGATTTTCAGCAAAACTTGTTGCAATCCACCATTCAATGGATCCATGTCTTCCTTCAGCGGAATTCGTCCAAACATGTGGTGTTGCTCTTCGTCATTCCAACATGTTCGCTCTTGCTCTTGTTCTGATACCAATTTGTTGTACCCAAATACTCGATCAACCAAATCACAGAATTGCATATGTAAATTTCCACTCCAACATCGAAGATTAACATATAGGATACCAAAGAGACTTGTGCTCTCCAAGGCTCATGCCAAAAGTATTTTAAAAAACAGAAAAATCCCCCAACTACTCATTGCATGCGATATAAACTAATGACTAACAACATCGTGGTGCCCCTGCTCCCCATATGCTACGTGAATATGTTAGGATATTATTAGTTTCATTTATTTAGACCCACAAGGATATAAACCATACTGCCCCAACCAAACTATTTCTTCTTGTTACATCGCACATACATGAATCGAATAGGTAGTTTATCACTATAGTTGCACAAATCTAGGTGTTCTTCCTTTCTAATTTATAATTACCACTATGGTCATAAAGACCTTTAACGTTGGAACCGACTTCACTACAACCAGTTTAAGAACAAACCAGAGTTGGATCCTGTCTCAAGCTGCATTTAGAAAATCGTTTCAAATAAATGGATGAAAAATTTGCTGTTCCACATGACACAAGCATCAACTTGTTAAAATCCCAGCCATGGAACTGCTAATGTGTGTACTTAACCATCTGAATAGTATTTCTGGTTGCTATAATTTAAAGTTAAAAAGTATCATCTGACTACAAATAAGAGCAGCATGCACCCACAACAGTCAGAGATCATTGTCAATCTTGGCATTAGATGATTTTTACACAAGAATTGTCAAAAGAGTTTGGTGACTTAAAACTTTAAGAGAAAAGTATTGCCTGAACAAGAAACCAAAGTGTCTTGGTAGCTTATGTTTCAATTTCTCCAGAAACGTTAATGTTGGTGCCAAGAACATCTTTTTAATTCTTTGACTCTTTGTTTTGTTATAAAGAACAGTCACCTATAGCTTAGTTCCATTGTTGCTGAATTCACACAAGTTACAAGCATTTTCAGCTACCTTCACATATCATTTACGACTGAAGCAACAATCCCAACAAGGCAACAACAAACCTTTTATTTTACACTATTTGGGGTAGGCTAAAAATTTGTCAAAAATTTATGAAAAGGTAAAGCCTGCCATCTCCACCACATGTCTTAACAAGATAAAAGTTGGAGCACAAAAAGTGTACTCAGATCATGATTCATAGCAAAAGCTAAAGGTCAAAACGTAAATGCAAAATCATTTCAAAATGTAGTCTAATTGCTAGCTCATTTACACGGTAGAAGAACCAATCAAAAAAATAAGGGAAACAATAAATAACTCTTTACCCTGTGAATGGAGAAGTCACTGTAACTCTTAATCTCCTCAATTACTCTGTCCAAGGTACACTCAGCACCAAATACACCTTTAGGATGCAACTTTTTAGCAAATCGAACAACATCCTTATTTGTGTAAATACGCCTCACCAGTAATGGATGATTTGCAATCTGGTAATAAAACATATAGAGGTATCAAAGAACATATCTTTGATGTAACTCATCTCAGCATAAGTAAATTACTAAGTTAGATGCGCATGCATGAAATCATCATTAACACCTTTCTGAACTGGACAAAATAGTTTGAAATCTGACGTCGAGGAAGATGAGCACTTTTAACTTCTCCAGACTTTGACATTCGAGCACGTGCAGCTGCACGATACTCCTCAATGGCTTCTTGATAAGCTTTTATTTGTTCCATTTCCATGCACACATATTCTATCTGCAGAAAGGTTTTGTGGCATTTCAAACATATAAAATATTAAAGCACCAAAGAAGACTCAAGTTACGATACAGAAAGATTTTAATCAGTTAACAATATGATGTTATTAGATCATAGACATTCTTGATGGCTTATCATCTTACTAGATTTTGCAGACTGTTTTGTCTATTCTACTAGTAGACTAGTAGCTAATTGTATGTTTCTGGGTGATACTGATTCAGTTTGGATTTGTTTTTCATCTACTACTGGTTATGGAAAACTGGAGCAATATGGGCAGATCCGAGAGTTTAAAGGGCTATAACATTGCTGATAGACATACAGGTTACTAGAAAACAATTTTCTGTTTTCACTTTTTGATATGCTTTTTTCTAGTGAATAGAGAGTAGATTGTTTAATCCTTTTAGATAGTGAATAGTTAGTTTTCTCCTTCTGGGGGTTTTCAAATATAATTTATCTTCCAATAAGCAAAAGTATCTACTATCCTCTTTAAGCATATTGAAATAGCATATCATACCCTTTGAACCTTAGGAACTAATTGCTGCATTACGTCTGATTTTAAGCGTCTTAGAATAAACGGTCCCAAGATTGACTTCATTCGAGCAATCAACCCTGTGTCTTCTGCATTTAGCAGCTTTTTCAAATCCACATCTCCGGTTTCAAATAAATCGGGCATCATAAACTCCAACAATGACCATAGTTCCTGCAATGAAGCCCCATGTCAACAACCCTACATATCGACAAAGCAGCAATTTGAAATAAAATCAAGAGACTAAACTTTAATCAGTTATGAAGTGCTCAGATGAATATTATTCCTCATTGCTGTTACTGAGGACTAGACCCTGGATCCATTACATCATCAGATGGGCCCATAGGCATACATGTCAGGCTAAATTACAGTACTTCTATATCTAACACTTGTCAAGTTGGTGCACAAAAATTTCTCATGTATAACTAGCTACATATAAAATTAACCTGAACATTCTTGAGATGCTTTATCAGGAGACCGGCTGGTAATTAGTCAGAACATGAATTGGATGATGGAGGCACTCTAGCATTACCGACAACGCAACCTCACATCAAATGACGATCATGCTCTGTATATTTGTACTCATGAAATAATAGTTCTTTCCAATGTGAATTGTTAAATTGTTACAGTACAGAAACATAAAGATATCAAGAAGAATTCCTAACTTGTGTAGTAGACATCTAAACCTCTTGGATGGCATGCCTTTCATGACCAATACTCAAACCGTGCATTAGAAAGAATTATTCCATGTTCTTCCATGAGACAAGGTTACCACCTATAAACACACATGTGGTTCTCATGTAACCAGGTATCCTACCCGAACGAAAAATCTCCTACACTCTGAGTTCATCCTCCACGAAGGCTCCTACTTTGTATGTACTTCTCTGTATTTTGAGTGTCTCACTGGAGGCATTAAAATATTGTAAGATACAAACACGAACCTACCAATGGCTAGAATGAAGAAGAAACATAAGAAGCCAAATAAAACAAAACATGCAGCAACGCCTACCAAGCAACTACGAGATGATTGCATTTATCTCGAGTCCTGTTTCTCTACAATGTTTAAGAGACTTTCCATCATCAGGTAATGACTATTTAATTCTTGATCATAGGTATATCAACATGCTTGCACCACAACAACCCACTTAATATCCAAAAAAACCTCTTGAAGATACTTCATAGAAACTATTCACATCAGCTATTCCCTCAAAGTTATTCCATGCCTCTGTAATGTGATCAATGTGGACCACCATAATAAGCTTTCAAGTATGATCATGTCTGGAAGATCAAAGTAACCTTGCCATTCCGAAACATGCTAGACACAAAGAGCTCATGAAGCATCCAAACCAAGTACTAAAATCGTTTGAAACCATATAAAGACTTCAAAGACCTAAAACTTTCAAAGCCTCCCAGCAAAAGAAAATAGTCAAGTACATATGTAAGCTACTCAACAAATCCATTGAGAAAGGCGTTATGTAATCCATTGACAAAGACGTGCAGACAGCTTTCGATTGGTGCTTCTCCTTAAAGAATTTTGTCGATAGGGCCTAAGCTTTAAAAAAACCATATCTCCAACATCAAAACTTACCTCCCTTCTAATGCCCATCAGCTTCTTGTTTCATTTTTTGTTGCACTTGCATTAAGAACATTCATAGCAAATCAATCGGATCATCTTTGTCTTTTAACATTTGCTCCACAGATGGCAGACCAGTTGAGCCTTCTTTAAATTGCAAATTGTTGGAGCATCTCTTCCATATAACGCTTTAAATGGTGAACAACGAATGGAGTTGTGGTATGTGGTATTGTACCAATATTCAGCCCATGCCAGCCATCTCTTCCACAATCGTGGCTTGTCGAATGTACATCACCTCAAGTACTCCTCAATGCTGCAATTGACTACTTCTGTTTGTCCATCGGATTGTAGATGATACGCAGACGAACTTTAACTTCTTACCTTATAATCGGGAAATCTCCTTCCAAACTATCAAGAAAAACCTTGTCCCTATCCGTGATCAGCGAGTTCAGAATGCATTCGGAATGCCATGCAGTTTAACAATCTCTCATATAAAAACTTTAGCTACTATTGCTGCTGAAAATAGGTGTTCTAATATCAAGTGAGCATATTTACTTAACCGATTGACTACCAACATAATTGTATCCATGCCCTCCGGTTCTACTCCTTGCTTGAGCGCAATCCCATGTTCTCTCCCTCTTTTTGGTTGGCAACCCGTCCGGCATACAAAAAGCAGCCTCATATTCCTTTATTAGTTTCTCCATGTTGTCAAGTAACATTTAGCTACCCTTGTTCTTAGCTTTTCACATTTCCTAATTCAATTAACACCCCTTGTCCTTCATTCCTTAGTGTCTTCATCATCGATTTTAATTCAAGGTTAGTGTTTCCCCTCCTTTTTTGAATCTCATAACCTGGTTTTGCCAATTCACCTATGTCGGTCCGAGTGAGACCAGCAATTTAACGCCTAATATTACATCTGAGTTTCCCGGATTAATGGGCAACAATTCTTTTACAACTTCAATTCCTTGCATACTTAGCTTCACTCGTGGCATACTCCCCGTCCCTTCATGGCTTCTCCCGCTCCACTTGAGATATCATATTCTTCTATGATTCTTGTAGATAACTCGAGCTTCTCAACTAACATCGTGGCTATAAAATTGTGGGAATCCCTGCTGTCAATTAAAACAACTGCCTTTTGACCTTCCACCTCTCCTAATTCAATAATACTTCCACTTCTTTTCCCGTTTCTATTTGTGCCAATTCTATCATCTCCCCCATTTTCATGTCTTCATTGATGTTGTACTCTTGCCCCTCTTGAACAACAGCACATTAAGCTCCTTTTTGTATCTGTGACCCGGAGAGTACTTCTCATCACACCTGTAACATAAACCTTGAGTCCTATGTTGTTGAAAATCTTGATCAGACAACCTTCTGGATTCCCCAAAAGATCTTTGTTATGCCAAGAGTACAATTTACGTATTCTAGGAAAAGAAAGGGGATGAGGGGCAATTTAGACAATTTACGTATTCTAGGAGAAGATTGGATGCTTTCTTGTGATTACAAGAAGAATCGACAAGGAGATCGACAGCAAAAGGCAATGACGGGAATGAAGGAGAGGATCGACAAGGTCATAATGGGGAAAGAAAAGCAGGACCAGACAGTGTAGATCGACAGTTTGGGAACGATGATAGGATTGGGGAGTCAGAGTCGTTCTTCGCAATCAAGGGAAGACGACCGGAGATGCCCATTTTTGATGGTTCAGATCCAGACAGTTGGATTCTAAGGGCCGATAGGTATTTTATGTTAGATCGACTCTCTAACGAGGAAACCTTGAAGTAGCGGTGATTTCATTTGAGGAAGATGCCCTAAGGTGGTATCAGTGAGAATAAAAGATCAATCATGCAGCGTGAGGAGCTTAAAAGTTTGATTTTAGTACAACTCAGAACCGCCGCTGACGGAACTCTTTGTGAGCAATTCTTGGCTGCGAAACAAGAAGAGACCGTGGTGAAATATAAGAGGAAGTTTGTATCGCTAGCAGCCCCATTAAATGGAATTTCGGAAGAATTCTATGTAGGCCAATTCATAAACGAATTACGGCTCGAAATTAGAGTAGAGGTACGATTGTTAGGACCGGTGACTCAAAGCAATTGAAGTAGCTTTGTTAGTCGAAGAGTGAAACAGAAAGCTTCGACGTGGTAGGATGTCGAGAAGTACACCTTCCATACAACGATCTTACGATGGTGTAGGAGACGAGAAGAGTGGATCGGGGGATGGAACAAGACAGCAGAGGCATGAATGGAAGGGTAATTTCAAAAATTATCGAACAAGGAACTGCAGCAAAGAAAGCAACAAGGACTTTGTTATAGATGTGATGAGAAATATGCTCCCGATCACCTTTGCAAGGAGTTGAGTGTGGTAGTTATACATGAAGCAACATAAGATATGGAGGGTAATGAGACCGAAATCGATGATGGTGAGGAGATGTTGGCCAACTTGACAAGCGATGACGGGTTGGAGGTATCTTTGAACTCGATGGCAAGATTTATGGTGGCTAAAACGATGAAGTAGAAGGAATAGTTGGTAAGCAAAAGGTGGTGGTACTCATTGACAGTGGAGCATCACACAACTTTATCGCATCAAAGTTGGTGGAAAAAGTGGGTCTAAAAGTTCAACCAACAGAAGGGTACAACATCTCAATGGAAACAGGGGATATGGAAAAAGGGCAGGGTGTGTAAAGGGGTGAAGATGCCGATGCAAGGAATCAAGATTCATGAGGATTTCTTACCGCTTCAATTGGGGAACTCGGATGTTATCTTGGGAATAGTGGCTAGCATCGTTGGGAGCAATGAATGTGAATTGGCAAACCCAAGTTATGACATTCAACTATTCAAGTGGGAAGGAAGACAAGTACATTTGAAGGGGGACGTGTCCTTGGGAAGATTTTTGGTTTCGTTGAAGATTATGATGAAGACGATACGACAAGGACAAGGGATTTTGGTAGAGTTGGAACTTATGGAAGAGAATGCCAGTAAAATAGATGGTTGTCCTAAAGAAGTAACGGAAGTGTTGGAGATGTTCAAGGATGTCTTTCAGTGCCCGAAATGGTTACCACCAAATACGGGAAGGGAGCATGGGACTATACTGAAAGAGGGGGTTGAATCGATGAATATTCGTCCCTACCGATGCACACAATATCAGAAGGATGAGATCGAGAAAATGGTAAAGATGTCGAAAGCGGGAATCATCCAACACAGCCGTAGTGCGTTCTCAAGCCCGGTTCTTTTGGTAAAAAAGAAGGATGGTAGGCGATTTTGTATGGACTATAGAGCTTTATAAAAAGGGACGGTACCAAACAAGTTTCTGATTCCAATTATCGATGAACTATTATAAATTAAATGGGCCAAATATTTCTCAAAATTGAATTTGAAGACAGGTCATCATCAAAGCATAACATGTACAGAGGATGTGCATAAAACAGCATTTTGAACTCATGAGGGGCATTACGAGTTCTTAAAATACCCTTTGGACTTACAAAAGCCCCAACAACGTTTCAGTCTTTGATGAACGAAGTTTTCAGGCTGTTTTTGAGAAAGTTGGTCTTAGTTTTTTTTAACGACAACTTGGTGTATTGCAAATCAGTGGAAGAGCATGGCGACCACTTAAGGGAGGTATTCCAAGGGCTGCAAAATTCAACAGCTCTATGCGAACCGAAAGAAATGTGATTTTGGTAGAGAGGAGATCGGGTATTTGGGACATGTAATCTCACGCAATGGGGTGCAATGGATCATGCCAAAGTGGACGCAATGTTAAGCTAGCCTCAACCACAAACAATCACGCAATTGTGAGGGTTTTTGGGACTAACTGGGTACTACCAAAACTTTATTTCTAGATATGGACAGATCGCACGACCTTTGACCGACTTACTAAAAGAACAAAAGTTTGGATAGAATGACGAGACAGCGGCTGCGTTTGAAGCGTTGAAGATGGCCTTAACTACGGCCTAGGTTTTGGTGTTACCGGATTTCAATAAGCCGTTCGTTATTGAAGCGGATGCATCGGGAGGGGGTTTGGGGGCTGTTTTGATGCAAGAAAACAAACCTGTTGCCTTTCACAGTCAAGTCTTGGGTACACGAGCGAGACAAAAAGCCAATTTATGAGAAAGAATTGATGGCCATAGTGTTTTCGGTGGTTAAATGGCGTCCGCATCTGCTAGAAGAAAATTTGTGGTCAAAAATCAATCAAATCTTGAAGTTCTTATTGGAGCAACGGGTAATCGATCCACGGTATCAAAAATGGGTACTCAAATTACTTAGGGTACGATTTTGATATAGTTTACAAGTCAGGAGTGACAAACAAAGCAGCAGATGTGTTATCTAGAAGAGAATTATAATGCTCGGTTATGGGTGGGCCTCAATGGAGGCAGGTGAAATCATTCGGAAGGAGGTGGAAGAGGATACCATTTTGGGCCAATTAAAAGTAGATTAGTGGCTGGAACAGCGGAGCACAAAGGGTTTGTAGTCAGACGAGAGTTGTTATGGTATAAAGATCAATCGGTGTTGTCTTGAACTTCTTCACTGTTACCTCTTATTTTGGAGGAATTCCATAGCTCTCCATTGCAAGGAACCAAACTTTGTTTTTCGACAGCGCATCATCCGCAATCGGATGGCCAATCAGCGGTAGTAAATCGTTGCTAGGAACAATATCTAAGATGTTTTACTTCAGATAAACCGAAACAGTGGAGCTGCTGGTTGGGGTGGTCTGAGTATTGGTATAACACTAGCTTCCAAAGTTCTCTACATTGCTCTCCATTTAAAGCATTATATGGACATGACCCACCTGCTATATTGAAGTATGAGACTGGAACAGCAAACGTACAGTGGGTGGAGAAATTGTGGTTGGAAAGAGATAGCATGTTGGATGAGACAAGGATGCACTTAATTCAGGCACAGCAGAAAATGAAACAACAGGCTGATAAACATCAAAAGGAAGCTGCTTTTGATGTGGCCTACAAGGTGTTCATCAAGCTCAGACCTTACCGTCAGAAAACTTTGCAAGCTAGAAAGAACCATAAACTCTCAGCTCGTTTTTATGGGCCTTTTAGAGTGCATGAATGGATTGGGAAGTGGCTTGTCATTTACAACTACCATCCACCGCCAAAGTCCATCCGGTGTTGCATATATCACAATTACGAAAGGTTGTGGGATATTGTTTGTCTTCGGATTGCGTCCGTCACAATTAAATGAAGATATGGAGTTGGTAGAACCAGAGGAGGTGTTACAATGTCGAAGGAATAATACGGGTGTATTGGAAGTTTTGATCAGATGGAAGGATTTACCGCCTTTTGAAGCGTGTCTTGGGAAGAGTTTGATGCAATTAGTTCTCAATTTCCTCATTTTCACCTTGAGGACAAGGTGAATGTCGAGAGGGGAGGTATTGTTATGCCGAGAGTACAATTTATGTATTCTAGGAAAAGAAAGGGGATGAGGGACAATTTAGACAATTCATGAAAATAAGTGGCTGAAAGAATCTAAAAACAGTTAGTGGGTTTTGTTGTAGTCGCAAATGGAGGGAAACCAAGTATATAGATGCAGATCTGGAGTAGAGAGAATTATTCAATTTGTTCTTTGTATAGACTCTATACAGGAGACAATTACATCTAGAAAGTTGACAGCTTAATAGATAATCGATTTCTTCACTTTTCCTTTTCTTGAATTCATAGAAGTCGTATCAATCTCCCTCCACGTCCACTACTCTTGTTGGGAGAGTTCAACAACTCTCTTATTTCCCATAGATCCTTCTCCATTACGCATGTTCACCCAACTACCTTGTGGGTTATTCATTCTTGCTAAAATCTTGTCTTTCTTCTATCCTTTGAGCTAGTTCCATGACCTTTAATCCACCGGTGCTAAGGTGTGGAATTCTGCTCTCATTTGTGGATTCGATCCGTTTAAGAATTCCAATTAAAACTTCATTTGGAATCCCTTGTAATGAGGCTGGCAACGTAACAAACCTTCTTTTGTATTTTGCCACCGTGTCGTCTTGCTTATCGGCCAAGAATTGCTCAGATAGAGATCCCTCCCCTGCTATGAAGCAGTAATGTCTTCAATTCTTCCCATAGCCTAATGGGTCTCCTCTTATTCTCCCACTAGAACCACAGCAAGGCGTCACCCTCAAAAGCAATAATCAAGACTTCTAGTTTTTCTTCATTGGTTAGTTTATTAAGAGCAAAATACCTTTCAGCCCTCAATAATATCCAACCGCTTGGATCTATCCCTATGAACACAAGTAACTCTAGTTTCCTCCCCCTTATTGCAAGAAATCGACGGGTAACATAGTTTTGTCTCTGCAATAGTCTGACCTTTTTGGTTGTCCGTTGTTAACGCTTTCGTCCTCTCCCCCAGTCGTTTCCGTTCTTCTCAAAGCTGCTTCTTGCAATAGCAACATTGTTTCCATTTGTTTCATCACTTTCGGCATGTCATCCTTCAATGAGTTACCTCTATTTGGACCGTTTCCAAGCTTCCTTCCATCTCGTCCATCCTCGATGTTTCCGAACAAGTCATGATTGTGTAAATAGTAATTTTGAACAGTAATCACGAATACTAATCCTAAACAACAATGGTAGGCTCTGATACCAATTTGATAGGAGTCAAAAATACCAAGAACAAAGAATTGCAAAGAATTGAATTATAATAATCGGTCTATATCTTCCAAAAAGGTAAACAGTGAAGGTATTTAAACTAATAAGTAACAGACTCCTAGAGTAAAACGAATCTTAAAGCAAAACAAATAAAGAAAACATAATTATTTTACGAAAATTATATATAAACTTGAGGACTTATCCAAAACTTGAGCTTTATTTTATATTATTATTATGCCCTCTTCCCTTTCCTTCTTGGATATGTCTTTATACTCTAAAGTCTATCATATGCGTATTATATACCTAGGTTACAAGTATATGTCTCCACTAAGCTCAGCAATTATAAGAATTAGAATTAACTAGCTAATCTAAGATACATATTGAAAGTAACAGTCCTACTCTTAACTCGAAATAATTAAATGCATCACATTTTGGGAATAGATAACTATCTAGAATTAAGGTGATGGCACAATATTCAGAGGAGAGGATCATATATGACATTAAGTATTGAATTAGATGTTGCTACATGTATCATTACCCTAGCACAAGGCAACAAGTTATTAAGAAGGTGCATCATATACAAGGTTGAGTAAAGATCAAGGTAAGTATGACTTAAGAACTTCTGTTCAGTTCACTTCAAGGAAAGGTTAGTTTAAGATATCAAATAAACACATAAGTAAATGGTAGACCAAGTCACAACCCGAAACAAAACCTCTGGGAAGTAATGGCAAAAAGCCAATGTTGGCGAGTATATATGCTTGCTCAAGGTCAAGATGTTAGAAAAAAGGAACCCTAAGTAAACCTACGAAACTTTAAAAATAATGAAAAATGTGCAATTAATGCAAAAGATAGGAAGATAGAAAAGCCGGAGCTAAGAAAGGTAGAAAGATACCGACTTGCTAAAACTAATATTAGCACAAGTGAGGTCTTCTAAGAACTGGACTATAATAGTAGCATTCTTTTTGAAAGAGGAGAAATCCACAAGCACATATTTGAGACTTAAAATGCTTGGTTCCACGTAAAAGAGAATCATGGACAAAAGCATACACACCCTTTGTTTTACCAGCAAAGTTGGGGCATGTGAACTATATATGAATACTCATTTAAAAAATGGCATAGACCATAACTTGTATATAAATTATCATATATGCTTTTATTGGTAACTGTCAGAATAAAATTACGAGGCTATTTCATACCAACCATGTTTTTTTAACATTAAAATTGGACCGCTTATGTCGTCAATTTGCATGTAATGCAATTGGTCAACCACATAGCTCTGCATATTGCTTTATATAACTATTTTTTGCATTTTACATGAGATATTATCACATTAACTGTTATCATTTACTTATTTCTTTATTTTCCAAGTCATTGCTCAATATAATTGCCTAGATGCATCACAAAGGTTACTTAGCAGAAGTTCAATGGCAACGCCTTGTAAAGAGTTCAAAAGATGCATACATGTAGATCATTTTGCAAAGGTGTTCCCGTAAGCATTAACCGCTGGTTTGCATTTCTTGCGACGGACATCAAGTTTTTCCATCTATAGCTGTTCCTATCCTTTAAAGCATGAGCTTCATCCATCAGAACACAACTCCATTTCCAACGCTTCAGGAGCTTACGGTCATCTTTCTGTTGTGCACTGTAGAGAGAATCTTAAAGAAAAGAACAGAAGTCTCAACTAACAAAAATAAAAAAACAGGCATAAAAGAAATGAGTTGCTAACCTGTGTCGTTCAAAAAGTGAGTAACATACAAGAATGACATTGAATGGGGGTGGCAATCTACTTTTGGACAAAGCATTCAACTGTTTAGAATGAGCTGATCTTCCAGCTCCGTGGTATTGGAGCACAGTAAATGATGGACACCATTTTTTAAGCTCTCTTTCCCAGTTTTCCAAAACAGAAGCAGGACAAACAATCAAATGAGGTCCTGGATCATCTTCCAAGTGGTTCAGCAAGGTAAGGTATGTTATCGCCTAAATAAAGATGAATATTACAATACATGTTAAGGAGATCATCTGGATTTCTGCCAAGCACAAGAGAATCTTCAAACAAACATACCTGAATAGTCTTACCAAGACCCATCTCATCTGCCAATATTGCTGAGAATAAAACCAAGATAGAAAGTGATGTATACTTGCCTCAAAAAACAAATGGTTTGAAAGTAATATAAAACAACTAAAGTTTTACAAATAAGGACTTCATGACATTATTGCAATGTCATGCTGTAAAGTGTTGTGATTCCTACTCCGTGTTGTTGTTGATCTTGCAGAGCCTACACAAAGGTTCAGGCCGGATTGTAGGAAGTGGGCAATAGTTTTTTATTTCTATGAGAAGCTCTAAGGCACCTACGATTCCAAGAACCAATAGATCCTTATAAGTGCGCCCATTATACATAGAGTTCTTATTAAGGGAAAACATGATGACGTTAGGAGACGATGTGTATACAAGATTAACGAGACGAAAAAACAAAAGTCGTGTTTTTATTACTCCCTTCGTCCCCAATAAAATACAACACCTTCTATTTTGGGTGGTCCACAGAAATGCAACATTTCTTATGTCTAAACAATTAACCTTTCCAAGTTTACCTTTTTTAGCATTTATAGTAAGATATTGGTAAGATTAATTGTTGTCCACAAGTTTTTCTCAATTGTGCTTAATAAAAACAACATTTCAAAACCTACAATAGACAAAAATGAAAGGAATAAAAAGGAGAAAACAAATGTAAATCATGTCATTATCCATGATTGTCAAAGGGTGCAAAAGTAAGACAAAAAGATCATAGCGATAGCACGTTGCCATTGCAGTCCTCCAAACACGGTGTATTTGCCTAAATTACATGCAATGGCGATGCACATACTTTCACAATATCAGGTAGAGATTTCTACCGCAAAGTAATTGTCATATGCCTCACTTACACCAACACTCATTTCTCCACCCAACAAACCTTTTTCAGAGCGCTGTAGACTTTGACACTCACCAGAATTTATGTATCTTCATACATCTCTTTTTTGACCTTTGAAACTTTATCTTCTTATGTTTAGTCTCTCTCTCCCCTTATTATTAGAAATAGACTCTCCAAATCAACCCATAGTCCACCTCTGGGTGGGATATACTTGGCTTTTTTGGTTTGGTTTAGTCTCTCCAAATCCCATATATGCCGACATCATTAACTAGCGGTGGTGGTGATGATGCAAAGAGGTTTCCTCACAATATGCCAACAAAAACAAGACTTGGGCCCCTCATTCCAGAACAAACATTGATTCATCCTAATCTTGTAGATAACTCACTCAAATTAGAATCATCTGCCACATCAGGCCTTGTATTGCATCCAACCAGTCCAACAAAAATTTCAAAAAGTGGCATTTCCCACTTCTAAAGAAATAATTTGAAGTACAATTAGAACATGTGCATAATTCAAATGATGAAGATACAGCCATCACCTACTTCGACAATTTATATTGGGATTCAATATCATCCTGCTAAAGATTAAGAACAAGGTTTCTAAATCTGCCATCAACCAAATCTTAAAACATTCGTTGAATACAAAGCACACAAGAACTCGCATAACTTGGTCCTTACCCTAATCTAAATGGCTTATAGGCATTCTTGGTTGAATGTTTTCAGCAAAGATAATTGGTAGTTCTAAGAAGAAATACCAGCTATTGATTTTAGAGCTCCTGATTCCAAAGAGAATTACTTCTCAATACATGTATATTTCGAAAGGTTTAGCATGCAAAAAAAATAGATCCATCAAAAGCAATTGCCCTTCTTCCTAAAGAAAAGAAGGGAAAGCTAAACAAACATACTATGCCTTAAAGGTGGATAAACCACAGCATCTTGCAAAAATATGAATTTGCTTAACCTTGATAAGTATAAAGCTTGTGATACATATTGCCGTCTTTACGTTTGTGCTCAAGCAGGCAATAATTACATAACCTCATTTAGTTAGCGATAATCCAAACCTAACCCCTTGTTATGCTATTTGTATATGTACCTTATTAAAACCACTCAAAGAGGCTCAACCGTGTCAAATAAAGCTCCATGTATATGTCTATCATAACAAATTTAAAATTTTCCCCAGTAAAATAAATTTTCAATACTTCATTTACTGTGTGGGTGCTCGTTTTCTAAAAGAGATACAGAGCATATGAAAATGTTAAATTACATACCTCCTGCAACTTTCTTCCTATACAAAAGCATAAGAAAATTCACACCAACAAGCTGATATGGTTTAAGAACAGGCTCAAAACCTGACCCCCCCGCCCCACACGCTTCACATATATCATCCTGTAACATTCAAGTAAACGTTTAGACGACAAATGAAAACATAAGTTACATTCAAATAGAAACAAAACAGCATGTCATTGGCCATATTCACATGCTACCATAATTGTTAGTGAAATATGATACATTCCTGATCGAAATTAAACTCAGCAGTGACAAATAAACAAAAACGAACTCACATGAGTGACAATTCTAACAGACGAACCGTCAACTTCAGCATAACGATCTGCATCAACCGACGAGGACCCATACAATTCTCTCCGTAATTCCACCGATATGTTCGCACACTTGTGCAACGCTTTCCCAACAACATCATCATTCTCTTCTTGCTCAACCTCCTCACCAAACCCCAAGTCTTCACTTTCATAATCCTCGCCCTCTCCCAAATCAATTGCCTCTTCCACCTCATCATCGTCCTCATCATCAACCACAAACCTCCGTCCACGGCTCGCAAGCGTCTTCGACGGAGCCTCTCCAAAGTCGTCATCCTCCAAATTCTCAAGTGCGTGTTGAGCTCCATCCTTGATTATTTCAACACAGTCGGAGGAGTCCGAGGAGGAGTCAAAAGAGGGTTTGGAAGTAGACGGCCTTCCTCCTGGTCCGCCATCACCACAGCCTCTGAAAGCGAAAGACTCGATGGGGGGTGGTGGGGTTTTGGAAGAGGGTTTATTGAGGATTCGGGAGGAATCAAAATCGTGGTTTGACCATTCGTCGTCTGATATTTCGATTGACTCGAACCCTCGCTTCATTGGAGCTGCGTAGGAAGATGGAGGGTAGTGATAGGGAGGATCGAGTACGGAAATGGCGTTGGATTTGTCTCTGACTCTTTGGTTTACAAGAGACTCGGAATCGAAGGCGCCTTTTTTCACGGAACACTTTATATATTCGAACCCAAAAATTCAAAACTAAATAATAAATGATTTCCAGCTTTTCTTGGTCTTGTCTCTCTATGTATTCTTTATCACAAACTAGTATGGAAAGCGTGCGTCGCACGGTAGCATGAGTACTTTGATTAATAATCTGAAGATTGTCTATATAAATATGTATTAGTTGTTAATAGAATTATCAACAAATAGTATTTAAATAATTCTAAAAAGTTAAATAAAATATAATTAGTGAAATTTTAATATATATATATATATATATACATTGAGAGAGAGATTTGTTTAGGAATAAA